GTGCGAGTGTAGTGTGTAAGGTGTGAAACGTGTGGTGATAAAGACGACTATGAGTTTTTTGTATCGTTGAATGTGGTGTCATGTATGATAAGTGTGTTGTATGTATTGACAGTACGCTGTGTTTATGTGGTGAGTCTACGGTATGTGTGTGTGTGGGTTAAGTGTTTGGCTTTGACGTGTTGTGTTGTACGTGTATTGATGGTGGTGTTGGTTGTAGTAGGTTGTAGGAGGTTGTCAGATGTGTGATGATGTGATGATGTGTGTGTGGTAGGTTATCGTGGTGTGTTGTAGCTGTGTAGTGTTAGGTGATTAGTGTGTGGTGTGTGCGTTAGTTGTGCGTTCAGTGTGTAGTATGTGTGTGATTTGGTGTATGTGTGTGTGGGTTGTAAAAGAGTATGGTGTGTGTGTTGCATGATGTGTGGTTCGATGGTGCATGTGATGTGTGTGTGTAGACCATGTGTGTGCATGTGTGTGCAATGTGTCTGTGCATGTATGTGCATGTGGTGTGTGTGTATATGTGTGTGTGTATCAACAAATGTGTGTGTGTAAATTTTATTGTGTGTGTATTTAGTGACATGTATGTGTGGTGTGTAAAGTGTTTGTATGTGTGTGCTATAGTGTGTTGTGTGTATACGAGTGTGTGTGTGTGTGTTGTGTGTGTGTGTTCTGTGTGTGGCTGTGAGTGTGGGTCGTGGTGTATGTGTGGGTGGTGTGTGTGTAGGTGTGTGTGTTGAGTAGATTGGTGCTATTTTGCCATTGTGTGTGGATGTGTGTGTAGTGATACTTGTGTGGTAGTGTGTCGTGACTGCGTTTGTTCGTGTGGTGTGATGTGTGTAAGTGGTTCTTTGTCCTGCTTGTGTGATGGTGTGTGTGTGTGCGGTAGTGGTGTGGTGTTTGTGTGGATGTGTGGCCTTGTGTGTGTTGGTTGTTGTGTGGTGTGTGGGTGGTCGTGTGTGTGGGTTGTGTGGTTAGGTGGAGTGTTAGGGTGGACTCGCGAGTTCGTGGGTTATTGCAGTGTCTCTGCTGGTGGTGTGTCAATCGGCGTGTTTGGGTGGGTGGTGGTAATGTGTGGTGGTAGATGATGTTGTGTTGCGTATCTTTTGCGGAGTGTGGGTTTTGTATGTGGTCGGATTTGGTGTTAGGTGTGTTGGTGCTGTGTGTGTTAGTTGGTATATGTGTGTGTATATAATTGTGTGATATGCTGGAGAGGTTGTGGGTTGTAGTATGTAGGTTGTGTGGTGTATAAATATGTGTGTGTGGTTATGTTTAATGTGTGTGTGTGGTGTTATATTTTAATGTGTGTGTGGTATATGTGTGTGTTGTGGTTGTATATATAGTGTGTGGTGGTGTATATCTGTGTGTGTGGTTGTTTATATGTGTTACTGTTGTCTACTGTGTGTGTGGTGTATATGTGTGTGATATATGTTCCTATGTGTTGTAAGTATGTTAGGTGTAATGTGTGTGTATATGTTGTGTATATGTTGGATATCTGTGTGTATCTGTGTGTGTTGCAATAGTTTGGTATGTAGGTGTGTATTGAGATTGTGGTAATGTGTGTTAGCATGTGTGTTAGTGTGTGTATGTGTGGTATTATATGTGTGTTATAATGTTGTATGTGTGATGTGTTGAGGTGTGTAGTGTGTGGTTGTGTGGTGTGTGTTGTGTGTGATGTGGTGATGGTGTGTGTGTGTGTGTGTGTTCGTAACATATCTGCAGAAGTTTAATATGATATAAATTTTTCCTTATACTTATTAACTAGCGTTGAAGTGTTTATTATGTTTCTAGTAGCTAAGAGAATTTAATACATGGGTATTTAGGGATAAGCTAAGACAACCTCCGCCACACACTTACTCAGCACACTAGAAAACTACCATCACCATCATCCAACACCATCTCACAATTGAACCCACACAATTGTCAGATACTCTGACAAAGTGAAAGATTTTTTAATCCCGTGGATAATAAATAACTTTATATCTCCTCCTGCCAGATTGTTTGAAATCTCCAAAGAAAGGCGCCGTCAATATTCTCCCCTACATGAATACAAATAGTATTCTGGGCAAAGAGTACGATTGTTATGAAACCTCTAAGGCAAGTAACTACTATCTAAGGCCCTGGCCGACAAGGTGGAGCATCTGGTCATAGAGAATATTATTGCAGGATGGTTGCAAGTCGTTGACATAATACTAGCACATAAAACATTGGTGAGTTAGCTTAGATACAGATATTTGTAATCATCATGTTAGGTGTAGCTCGAGTCGCTTGGAGCGCTGGTGTAGGACTTAGACGTTCTCGATAGTTTTTCAGGTGAAACTTGAACCTCTGTTGCTAAGCATAATATACATTCGGACTATATTATACATACGTAGCTATTCAAGCACACAATGATAGAAGTAATAAGGCACACGATTTGTAAGATGTCATTACGTGTTGGGTCGTAAGTACTGAATGGTACTAACTATTCAATTATAAAGATTTGTAAGAATGGTATATGTAATCATATATATATACTTTTCAGTTATAATATTATGTCCAATGATATGGAGGTCAGGTATTATAATAGCTTATTGGGGATGGATCATTAATAACAACCATTGGATTGGCAGATGGTACAAAGTATAAACCTTATACCGTAATATATATAATTTTACTATGACATACAATGTATACACTGCCTCTAGAATAGCCACTGTTCAAAACTAATTACTAATCATAATAAACAAATTAACCAAAAATTTATTATATTAAAGATAAATGTAAAAACATTCACTGCACGTTGAAAATACAATTACATATTGATATCTGAACTAAAAGCAATAATGTATTGGGGTATACTTACTCTATCTCTACAATCAATGTGGGGTTCCAAAGGTAATTCTTTTCAATACTGACAACTATTTTAGGGTGAGGTATCCACTAGTTTGCTAAATCATTGACAATTATACATTTTTTATATATAATTAACTTTTTATTCGGCGTTTAGCCTCCTCCAAGTTTTGAAAAAATAGATCAAAACGTCAAATAATATATAATTACGTCTAACAAGAATACCTTTGCGGAAATTTGAACTTTGAAAATGGTTTTACCGATAAAAATCACCGCAAAAGGGTACGACCAGAAATACTCTACAATATATCTTACAAACGGATATAGATTTACTGGCGAATAATAATGAAAAACTTTCTGAATTCAGACTATAAATAATCACTGCAATAACCGACGGTTAAAGCCTACAATTAGAAACTTGATTATTTTTTATATCTTTTAATCTTATTTAATAATAATGAATATACATACTAAAGCTCGTAAATCGCTCGAAGCTCAAACACGTGCTTTACCTTTATTAGAGCTGTCAATTTCATTTTTGTACCAATCAATTCCCTCATTATACTCTCGTGAAATATCCATTGATAATCCTTACACCGCAACCTTATTTTAGTCAGCTCAGTCAAGGCAACTCGTGCGACAAGACATCGACGTATATATGATCCTCATTACCATGAGAAGACAACTACGAAGGTCCTACACACTTTCAAAACATATGGAAAATCCTAAGAGAGTGCGTAGTAGAGGAGATTTTATAAAAGGTCGGTCGGATAAAGTTCTCGTTCTCAAGTCAGCTGGAATCTGGGCGGACGTGGGAGTTAGCCGCTGAGGGGTTATTCTTTGTCAGGGTGAAGAGAGGGAAATCACCGCGCCATACCAGAAGAGTCATTGTTGTGTAGTTAACTGTATGTTATTAGTATATAGATTTTGATAGTGTGGTAGTGAGGGAGAACTGGCACAAGATTATGTTGATTAATTAAATAACTTAATAAAATAAATTGACTTACTTATAAAAATCATATTATGCGAAATTCGTACGTAATGTAAATAGTGTACCACCACACACTCTTTGGAGGTAATGTGATCGACCAATAACACTATAACGCAACAAACATACACACACCACACACACACCACACACACACACCACACAATACACACACACACACACACACAGCACACACACACACACACACACACACACACACACACACACACACACACACAACACGCACACACACACATACATACATATACATATGTATATATACATATACATGTATATATATATGATATATATAATATATACATATATGTATGATATATATAGTCTTTGGAGGATTGTATGTATGCACACATACACAAACGTGTGTGTGTGTGTGTGTGTGTTGTGTGTGTGTGTGTGTGGTGTGTGTGTGTGTGTGTGTGTGTGTGTGTGTGTGTGTGTGTGTGTGTGTATAAGGAATCGGACGAAGATTCGGGGAGAGAAAAAAAAATTAAAGAAATAAAGAAAAGAGAAGAAGGAGGGAAGGGAGAGAGAAGAGAAGAGAGAAGAGAGAGAGAGAGAGGAGAGAGAAGAGAGAGAAGAGAGAGAGAGAGAGAGGAGAGAGAGAGAGAGAGAGAAGAGAGAGAGAGAAGAGAGAGAGAGAGAGAGAGAGAGACGATATACAAGATGGAATGCAGCTTGAATCACATTTACACATTTACATCTCTTCAGACAATTGGTTTGACTTTCCTGGAGGCAGGGACGAGTTTGCCTCCCGCAGGCGTGTTGCAGTATACTCGAAGTTAAATAAAATTTTGCAGTTGCATAAATTTTTGACATTTTATCGGAATGCTCTAAATTTTTCTAAACCAGAATCACAATTCATTCAAGATACAATTCATGAAAAAATACAACTATTTTTTTAGTGGTGTAAACAGAGCCTCAGCAATAGGAAATGTTTTCCCTCAATGGGGCCCCATACAGATACAGAAGCTTTACACTCCCACTTCACACTAGATATCTATTTACATACACGTTCTCTATTTTTAAAAAATCTTCCAAACTATCACATCAACATAGATATTACATCGTTTTAAGCATTTTACAACCTGTATGACCAACCATTTACCCAAGTCACCCCCATTATCCAAAAGTTTTCTAATTCCTCTCGTTTTCTGTTACTGTGTGTGGCGGGAAGAGCGGCTATGTAAACAACGCTTGAAGTGACACACGAAATAAACCACGATGGAGAAGGTTATCCTCTTCTTATCAACAGGTATTATTATTGTGAATGTGGAATGAGATTGACTTTTGATGAATGTATTGATTAGATTCAGTGGTTACGTCGGGAGGTTTCTTGTAATGTTAGTTGTGTGGGTTGTTTTCCCGGAAGTTTTGAATAATTGTTGTAAAGTTTTCTAATTGCTTTGATTTCCAGAGTATATGAATAATTTTGTTAATGGGGCTGATGTTTTACAGGTTGGAATAATAGCCTCTGGATCACAAAGTGTAATCCTCAAAAATAAAAAACAGCTATGAAATACAAGGTTTCTTGCGGAAAATAACATTGTATTTTCCTGTTGCATATTTTCTTCATACAGATTTCTGTTTATTATATTTTCATTATCAGCTGTTTACCCTGCCTATTTAATACATCATTTCATTGAAGATTTAGAAATAAGAGTATGGAATTAAATTAATGATTCACTAATTTCACAGCGATTGGGGTCCACATAAAGGATTTTTGACCCCAGGGTTATTTGTCAGAGAAATAGGGTCTCAGAGGGGAGTGCGGTCACTTTGTATACAATTCCCTCCTTATAGTAAGTTGTATCAAGGTTTCAGTATCTTTGGCTCTGAGGAAAAGCAGACCTTCATGATCTTTCTTTTTTTTCCGTTCTGTTATTATACCTTTCGGGCATTTGCACAGATATTGCCATAGGAGAACTTTGCCTTGATTTATACCATTCTATCATTTCATAGAATGATAAATGCCAAGTGAAGACTAAGTCCTTGTCAGTTGGACTTAGGGATAGAGAAATATAGGGTTTGGTGTGGGGTCTGGGTTAGGAAGAATATATGACATACCTAGTGGCCATAATAGCGTTCAAATTTTGCAGTATATGACTGAATAGTAGATGTTTAGAAGACACCCATGCTACCATTAATAGTGAGCATGGTGGCAAAGGATAACAAACCTTCAGCCCACATTAATCAGCAGCATGGAGCTTATAGGCCTCTTGGTTATATAATTTCATAATGTCAGTCAAGTCAATCCAAGCTGTATCTAGCCTTTCCCAGAGTACCATACAAAGCTGTGATAATCACCTGTCACAGTGTTGATACAGCTGAACTTTAAACTGTAGGCCATCAGGACAGGCCATAGTAAATTTGAAGTGGAACTATATATTCATTATTTAGTTACAATTTTAAGTAATTTTTTTATTAGAATGTGATTTAGTGTACAAAGTACCAAGTTCCTGACAGGTCATGATTCAGGTCTTGTAAATTTATTCTTTGAAATTATTTACTTTTTGTTGATTATTTTATACCTAACAATCGAGTTTGGAGGGAAATGATGTCCAGCTTCCTAAAATCATGCATATCTAAGAAACTCCTATTCATATTATCTTTGAGTATATATATCCATATTTGTCTTTCACTTGCCTTATAACTTGCCTCAGTACTGCAGTGGTTAAAGAGTATTTGATTAATTATCTATACTAGAGAGGGAGAACCAGTACATCACCAAGGAACTAGAAGCAGCCATTGAGTGCATAAAGAAAGAGGATGTAAAAAGCACTTCAAGTTGTCACCTTGTCCGCCTAGCAACATCTGCAGTTCAGGGAGTCCACGATGGAGATGCAAATGCACACGATGGTCACACAGTTACCCTTTGGCATGAGTGGGCCAAGACTGATGCACTTGATGAATACTATGCAAGTGTGCAGAGAGAGGAGAGGGAGCCCAGTGAAGCACAGGATCAGGAACCTATATTCAGGTATGAACATTTATGTTATAGCTACACACTTTTTGCACAATTTGTAGAATAGTTGAAGAATTGGTTATATAAAAAAACCTTTTTTTTCTTCAGGTATAATGACTTTTTCCTTCTTGCTGAGGCAGTACACAAGTTTGCAGACAGTTTAGAAGATACAGGAAGTTACTTGCTCTATGTCTTTTGGTGTGTGGACAAATATGTCCCAAACCCCAGGTATGTTATGTGAAAGGCTGTATTATACAGTTAGAAAGATGAGGAAACAAAACAGGAAAACATCTATGATAAAATATGATAATATAGGTAATTGATACTTATATTGTATATTTATTACTTTCATATTATCTTTGAATATTGCCACAAATCCCATCTAAGGCTTCTTTTATTATCCTGCAGTGAAGTTCCAGAGTTTTATGGCAGTTTAAGAAGGCTTGAACAATGGCACTTTGGTGGCTTGTATATATCTTGTGCAAATCAAACATTAGTGTCAGAATGGCCAGACTTTTTACCGCTTCATATCACTTCAGGCTGTTCTCAGGTGAGTTGCATAAACTGCATTATTCCAGGATATGAGAGGGATGGATAGTTTGAAGTAAAGGACTGCTCTTTTTCAACATTGTTTTTTGTAGTATAGTATATATATATATATATATATATATATATATATATTATATATATATAATATATATATATATATATATATATATATATATATATATATATATATGTATATATATATATATATATATATATATATATATATATATATATAATATATATATATATATATATATATATATATATATATATATATATATATATATATATATATATATATATATATATATATATACATATATATATATATATATATATATATATATATATATATATATATATATATATATATATATATATATATATATATATATATATATATATATATATATATATAATATATATATATATTATATCTACGAAATTACTACTGTTTACAATGGCTTTGTTTCTTTTCCCAAGATAATAGAGACTATTGTAAGCACCATGTGGAGAGGTCAGCTGGCAGTCACTGAAGAAGGAACAGGGAGTTCCATGGTTCTCCCTGAATGTGTTGTGCAGTGCATTAGTGGCCAGCCTGCATTGGGAGCAGATCCTAAACAGGTTTGGCAACTTTTATGAATGTGTCCTTAAATTGGTGATAGAAATGACATTATTTGACTTTCCAAAAATATGTAAAGTCTGGTTGAATAGGATTACTTGATAATTGGCTAATCATTTTATAAACTAAATAAATATGCCAAAGTCCAAGCAATTGTAGAATATTGTCAATACCTATTTTCTTTCCTTTTTTACTATTTCTTATTATTTTACTAAAGTACTTTGAATTTTCATCTGTACCATGAAATTTTAATGTCATTTATTGTATACTGTGTGCCCATTGGTTCATTGGGGTAAGGCACCCAAATACTGATCATAAGCTCTCTTTGGTGCCGTGAGTGATGATCCCAATGGATCCATGTGCCTCACGGCCTGCCAAAATCCTTGCATCAGGCTTACATGAGTGGTGACTCTCCTGCATGTGTATCTTGTAGGCCTGGCCCACACAAACACTCATCTGCAGTATCAAGACTCCTTGCCTCCTCTTTGCTATGTTATTAGATCTAATGCTGTATATTCTGTTTTGTGAGGTCTGTTTGTCATTTGTTATACTGTATCAAAATGGTTATAGCCTGATTTCATTGAGCAAACTCCATATCTCTCTAAGTAGCCTACAATAAATAACAATGTGTTATTATGTTATTTGGCGATAGGTTCCTGTCACACTGCCCTTAGCCAATTTTTCAACTGTGTCACTCTGATCTCTTCTCTTCTCTCTCTCATCTCTCATCTCTCTCTCTCTCTCTCTCTCTCTCTCTCTCTCTCTCTCTCTCTCTCTCTCTCTCTCTCTCTCTGCTCTTCTACTCTCTATCTCTTTTCTCTCTCTCTCTCTCTCTCGTCCTCTCTCTTCTCTCTATCTTCTCTTAACGTCTCTCTCATCTTCTCTCTATCTATCTAGTCTATCTCTCTTCTCTTCTACATCTCTTCTATGTATTCACGTATCTTATTCTGTTAGTGGTATTACGGTTTACTCATTATATACTCATATTTATTATATATATTATATATACTATATATAGTATATAGCTATATACTACATATATATATACACCCTACATACTATTACCATGTTATCAAAACCTACCCTCGGAAGGATTTGCTCCCCCCCAACAGCCCGGTTGCAAGAGGACTTGCATATGCACTGGTCACTCTAATCGCTGATATTCTATGGTGCGTACTGCAGTGGTATTTTATTATTTCTATTAATGTATCGAGTTAGTTATTTGATTTACATGCCCTATGGATCGGCTTATTGGCTAGTCATTCCTAGTTGCACTCACTCTCTGTTCTGTTAGTGGGTCTTGTATCTCCGTTGTTAGAGTCACAGTCGCTCGCAATGCTCTCTTGGCATCGGGCCGGTTGGGCCGTTCGAATCCATCTTCGGAGGTTAAAGTTATTCAATCATACTCAATTGCGGCAGTGGGCATCTTTCTCTCTACTTCTCTCTTCTCTCTCCTCTACTTCTTTCCCATCACACTCACATCCACAATTCATCACTCTACTTCTCTCTCCTCATCTTCGCCTCTCTCCTTCTTTTCTCCACTCACACATCTCTCATCTCACTCTATCCACTAATACCTCACCACTACTCTCCATTTCACACACACTACACATCCACATATCATCACACATCCACACCATTCTCCCTACACACTCTCACTACACACACACACACAACACAAACACATATATATACTATTATATATATTTATATTATCTCTTCTACTCTTTCATCTTTATTTCAATATCACTTTCTATACTATATTCATATCAGTCTCTATATTATTTCTTTGGCTCTAGTTATATTATTATAATCTCTATTTTAGTTACTACCTTACAAATTTATTTATCTTATCTATCGGTCTACTATATATAAGGTACTACGTATTATGTCCTCACTTATATATCTCTGCTATGATATAACGTATCTATTACTTACGTTTTATAATCTTCTATTCTCTATCCTCTACATCCTAGTCGTTTCTCACTCTCTCTCTACTTTATATACTCTCTCTTCATCTATGTACTCTAAGTCTATATATAGTTATGTACACTATAATAGATACTATTCACAATATATATATATATATATACTTACTATATACGTATATATGTATTATATATCTATATTCGCTATAGTATATATATATCTACTGTATATATAATACTATATATATATATATAGGTATATATATATATAATATATCAGTTATATGTATGTATGTAATGTATACTCATATATATGTTACTCCTGTGTTGTGTGTGTCTGTGTGTGTGGTGGGTGCTTTGTGTGTGTTGCTGTGTGCTGTGTGTGTGTGTGTGTGTTCGGTGTGTGTGTGTGTGTGTGTGTGTGTGTGTGTGGTGTGTGTGTGTCTTTGTGTCTTTGTATATATATACCTATATATATAATACTATATTATATTATCATACTATATTATATAATTATATATGTATTAATATATCATATATTCATAAATATATATATATCGTATATATATATATATATATAATATAATACTATATATATATATATATGTATGTATGTTGTATACATGATATAGTATACATATTCATACATACATATATAAATAATATATATATATATATATATATATAGTATCTATAATATATCTATATATATATATATCTATTAGTATATTATATATATATGTCATACACACCGCACACACACACTAACCACACACACACCCACACACCGACACACCACACCACACACAGCATCCCACATATATACCTATACCTATATATATATATAGTATATATTATATATAATATATATATCAACCCTATATAATCCGCTAGCTCTTTCCCTCCCTTCTCTCCTTAACGCCGTATCCCTCTATTATTGGAAGATAATTTTCTCCTATGCTCACTGGGGCGGTCCAATCATGTGGGCCACGTTTCCTGGGCATGCATGGTCCGCTTTCGTTTCCTCTACTCTGGTCTATTAATCTATCGCCTCTATCTATCAAACTCCTCTTTGTCTCGCTCTACCTGTTAGTCTAGGGCTATGCTTTTCTTCTGTCTGTCTATCTCCGCATCTCTATATCGGATTATACTCATTTATGTTTTTCGGTTTCAACCAAGTATATCAGAGACAGTAACAACCACAGTTCGTTCGAACCATTCTGCTGATTCATTCTTCTCAGGTACGGAACAGCTGATAGCAACAGAAATTATAACATGTACGCGTTTCCATCATATCAATCCTTTAACGCGGGGTTATATATATTTTTTTTGTCTTTGTACAGCGTGCTTTCGGGTCTTTTAAAGACAAACTTGGCATAACAAGAAATCGCCAGCAAACGCAGGATCTGGGAAATCATAACGATAATAAAAACTCGGGGAATCCGAAAGAAGGCTTTTGTTGTGGCATTGCAAACAGCATGCTGGGCACAGAAAACATGGCCGCCATGCTTATCAGCAATATGATGCTGGAATGAATATTGAGGAAACTCGTCAACAAAACATACAACAGTGGTATGCTGCTTAACACTTAACAACAACAGAGCGCTCTATACATTCTTCTATGGGGAATTTTTGTATTTGTATGTATATTAATTGCTAGATGCATATTCATTCGTGGGCCCTAAATTTTTTCCGCGGCGGCGCAGCGCATGCGTTTTGATCCGATTCATTTTGGTCGGGCATCGCCTCCCCGCAGCGGGGGCCCTCCGTGGAGCGCTTTGCTTGTTTACCGAGTCGGCGAACTAAGATCAATTTCGCTTGGGAGCTAGCGAACATTATCAGATGAAATTGTTGTTGAATAATAGACGTTACTGAAAAAGAGCATAATTTGGAGTATCTTAATGAAAAATACTATCACAATGGTACAAAAATATGAATGATTATCATTACATTAAGATGTTTGGTGATAAAAGATGATAATAATGATGATCTGCAAGTTACAGAATCACCGGTGATGATGATAAACGAAGATAATGATCATAATGATGACTCAAATGTACTTTTTGGGTTTGGAAATTGAAAAATAGAAATGATAACAAAAATGATGACGATGAAGATGGATGGTTGATGATAACACACAACAATGATGAGCTTGATGATGCACAACACAAAAATCGATTGATAATGATGATGATAATAAAAATGGAAGCAGAATCAACTGATGACGAAAAACACCGATGAAGATGATAATGATCAACACAAACGGATAAAGATGATGAGATGATTAACAACTCGGATGGGATGTGATGATCACAACCAAAAATGATGACCTCCTCCTGCCTCTCTCCCACCTCTTCCACTCTCTACTCTCTCTCTCTATCTCTCTCTCTTCTCCGATCTCAGTCCAACTCCGATCGTGCTCTCCGTTTCCCTCTCTCTGCCTCCCGGTTCCGCTCCTCTCTCTCTCTCTTTCTCTCTCTTTCTCTCGTCTTTCTTTCTCTCTTTACTCGTCTCTCATCTTTGTGCGCGGTTTCTCTCGTCTCTCCTCGCTCTCTCCTCTGCTGGCTCTCTCCTCTCTCTCGTCGTCTCTTCGTCTCTCGTCTCTTCCAATCCTCTCTTTCTCTTCTCTTCCTCCTCTCTCTCTTCTTTCTCTCTCTCTTTCGTATCTTTCTTTCTCTCTCTGCCTCTCTTTCTCTCTCTCTCTCTCTCTCTCTCGTCTCTCTCTCTATCTCTCTCTCCTTCTTCTTCTCTCTTCTCCTCTCTCTCTCTCTCTCTCTCTCTCTCTCTCTCTCTGCTCTCTTCTCTCTCTCTTCTTCTCTCTCTCTCGCTCTCTCTCTCTCTCTCCTCTCTCTCTCTCTCTCTCTCTCTCTCTCTCCTCTCTCTCTCTCTCTCCTCTCTCTCTCTCTCTCTCTCTCTCTCTCTCTCTCTCTCTCTCTCTCTCTCTCTCTCTCTCTCTCTCTCACTCTTTCAGTTTAAAACCTCTCTTTACACAAAATAGGTCCAGTGCAAGAAAGGCAGGGGAGGACAGGTAAGCAAAACTAAAGGCAGATCAAAGGCAGATCAGATTAATTGAAAAGATCAGGCAATCTGTGTGAAGGATGGCTGGCATAAAGGAGTAATCAGAGGAGACTGTTGACAGAAGAAAATCTACTGTTGAGGTTGTAATCAGGTAGCTGGATTATCTGGGAAGAGTCTAGCAGTTTGTTGGTATGGATGGAAAGACAATACAGGCTGCTTATCAGAGTATTTAAGGATCAGTGTCTCACTGATGGTGTTGTGACTCCTGGATATAGCAGACTTGTGCAGAGAGAATACCTAATGAGACTGGCACTAGTCACACTGCTGTTTATCACTGGTGGCACAAGGAGTATCATTGGAGCCCCAGTAGAGAGAGGACTGATGTGAACGAGGTTAAAGCAGTGTGTTCTAGTGGAAAATGGCATGGATTTTGGAGGCAACCATCTCTCCCACCTCTTGCTTGCCATTTCAGCTTTTTCAGCTTTTTAGCATTTTCTTAATCTTTTACCATGATTCATGGGTTTACTTCTCAAAAAAACTGCTTCAACTTTTATAAGATAAAAGTTTAGTTATTTTCCTTATGGTGTACATCCTCTTATAACTGATTTCAGACTTCTAAGTTGATTGTGATCTGTTTTCCAGGGACCTTTGTACATCCTGCCAACAGCAGAAGTAGTAGCAGACTTCGACATTGGTACCCTTCCTTGGGTATACCTTCGTCATGGTGGCATATATGACATGGTGCCAGCACTGCACACAGATCCTGAAGAACAAGAAGAAGTTGTGGCAATGTTAGATGTACTGACTGGACAGGCTGGTGTAAGTGATACTAGTCCAATAGTTACTCTTATGTGGCTCCTAATACCACTGTAGTATTTTTCTTTTCTTATTTTATTTAATTTATTCTTTACATTTCCTGAATGATCTTAATGTTGCCAAACTTCAGTTGCCAGAATGTCTTTTGGCAAAGATGTTGTAGCAAAAGCATATATTGTTTTAACTCACCCAGATTGCAACACTGGTTCGCCTGAGGTACTCACCCCTACCCCCTGTTCTGGAAGGAGTTAAGTCACTCACCACAGAAGAATGGAAAAGATGTAATGTGGAGGGACAGTTTGAGTTAACACCAAGCTTGCACTTCAAAGGTTACCATCTCATACTCAACATGATCATCCTGAGTGAGGGTGCACAGAGGGGAAAGGTTGGTATTACAGATTTTACTGTTTCCATATGTGGGGGAAGCTTTGTTGGTGGCCAAAATATTATTAGGGCTGCTCCCTGTGTTTTTTATTGCTTTTATGACTGTAGAGGATCTGGTAGCACCAACATCTCTAAACATTTAAGGAATTAAATGTATTTTTGTCAGATAAAAAAAAGGAATGAGTGATTCCTGTCTTATAAATGTAGGAATAGTATTCTCACTAAGATTCTATTGTTCGCCTAACCTCACAGGCTCTTCTAGTAAGCCTGCAGGATCCAAGTGCTTGTGGGGAGGATGTCATTAAGTTCTTCAGTAAAGCAAATCTTCCAATGCAGGTATGCCATTAACTTTATTGTTTTACCTCTTTACGTCTTTCATTTTTTTCTATACATTCTTTCTTGTTGATATACTTTCCATCATTGATTCAATACTAGCTGTTTTAGTCTTGTGTTTTTAATCCTTATCCTTTTGTCATCATTTGGAAATTAGATTGGAAGCTATCAAGAATCCCTGGTTGAGTGAATAGATGCAAAGTAAAAGGCCAGAATATGTCTGTGTTCCTGTAAGTAATCAGAAATCTAAAAGAAACATTTATACGAAACAAAGAACTGATTAGCCAAAAATGGCTGAAACGTAGGACAAAGCAATCTCACTAAAGGTGCATCCACACTACAGAAAAATGTGTCAAAGAACATAAGATACGTATCACGGGTTGAAAGTAGACATCTTTTCATCATTGACTACAGTGATGGTAATGACTTGTTTCCGGTATGTGTGTTTCCAGTATGTGTGTGATATGTATATGGTATGGTCTCTGAAATGTTTTATTGTATTGTAAATGCATCGTTAGCAAATCTGCATAGTTGTATTTTCTTATCATGCTAT